CAAGAGAAAATGTTTAGTAAAAACTGTATAGAACACTTAGGAGACAACCAAAGGTACACCTTTTTTATGGGTGTTTTTGGAGTGGAGATTCCTCCATCGAATAATGAGGGGACTTTTTTCCTCGGAAAGCTTAACTATTAAAGAGGAAATGGCAACAAGAATGGCTAAAAGGGGGTTAACATTAAACATGTGTCAATGTGGTTCAACAACATTTCCTTGTGAAAACAAATAGAATATTTAATCCTTTGTATTACTACCGTAATTACGCAGGCCTTGTGCTTTACCATTGTATAACCTGTCGAGCTTGAATTGAATGTCATTAATAACTTAAAACTCTCATTTCTATTTTACCTGCCTGTAGGCAAAGATATCTACGAACAAGACTTTCTGATTCCGATCGTAAGGGTAAAATTTACAACGAAGCGTGGTTTTTGCAAAACTAAAGCCTTAACAAACACCTCCACATTAGTCATAATAATTTGACACACGATTATTGCAGAAAATAAAAAAAATGTGTTGACGGCTTTGTTACGTGCTGAGAAGGAAAAAAAATGATTAATATAAACGAAGCCGCTTAGATACCGTGGAAGACGTTTTTTTTAAAGATTCAGAGTGACGTAATTCCAAATGTAAATTAACAATAAAACGTATTTCAACCATCTGAGGGAGTCTTTATTACGCCCACGTCAAAAATAGGTTTGACTCTATCAGCCAAACGTAAATTCAATTCTTAGTTAAGATTGTTTTTTTGAGCTGACTCCATTTTATCTAAGTGCCCGACCTTGTTATTTTCAACAGTTTTCCACCATTGATCAAACATCGATGACTAAATCGGAGCGGGGGCTATATTGAAGTCTTGTTTGCGTTACGGAAAATCATTTAAGTGAAAGGTATGTTTTTGCTTCTGGTCTGGAAATCCTCCATTATCTTCTTAAGTTTCTATAAAAAAAACTGAAAAAATTTCTGTACTGTTGTAGAAACATAAGACTCAAAATTTTCTTAGTCCATCATCTGTGATAAGCAAATAAGTTGTTCGTTTGTCACTCGCAGAGGAATTTTTTAATTAAACGTCAAATTGTTCAAAATCTCTCTTAACGAGGCCAGAAGGTCCTCACGTTTTCGTGGGAGAGGGGCAGATAGGGGTGGAATGGGAGGAGGGGAGTCGTCTTATTCCGAACCAGCAAACTGGTGAGAAGATTTGGCTGTTTGATCTTGGATAATTTTTTCGGAACTTCGAAAGCCATCGTCTTTAACTGAGTAAGACTAAGGTGCAATGAAGAGCCAGTCAAAGCTTCCCGTGTACATTCGAAGAAAGATTGATAAAGGTTGGATAAGTACTTTAATTGCTCCTACGGAGGGCTCTTGCACAAGAAAAAAGCGAATAACGTAATGAGTGACGAGGTCAGCCGTTTGGGAATAGCTCTCTCAGATTAAATGCTTTCAAAATAGCTATGACATAATGTGAGACTCAGCCACAGACTGTGTATTGCAACTTTCTGGGTGCTGCGATGGCAGTTCTTTCTCATTCGAAAATTTTAATCGCCTCGCCCGTAAACACCTTTTGCCGGAAATTCATAAAAAAAGAGTTTCCTTCAATCTCATAAATTTTACACAGCGTCTATTCTGTATATTTCTCTTCACTCAGCGATAGTAAGACATGTGAATTAATCCTTGTGTTTATTTCAGTAGCTACCAATCGAGAAAAACTGAATTCACTGCCCTAACATTTTAAGCGGGGCTTAACATTATGTCATTAGGATTATGCCGGTTGATGAGACGTTACGAACGCGAAGGGACATGTTTTTTTTTTGACACTCTGGACGGTTCTTCCAGACGCTAAAACCTAATATTTAGCAGGAACCTATCAATTTTTGGAATTTTCTTATGTCAGGCTTCCTATTTTATACAAAACTAAGCATTCATGAAATTTACACCAACTCAGCTGATAATAACACCATAAGCGTCGATAATTCCTAGATTTTCTGAAGCAAACATAGACAAATCAACGTAATGAGCGAAGAAAATTTAAGATTGGAAGAGAGATCTTAAATCCTTTTAAAAAAAAAGACGGCTTAGTAAAGCTGTAACGTAGAAAAGGTACAGTAAATTTAGCGAGAAAAGGTATATGACCTTTGACAATCTCTATGTGTTGGTAAAGGATCCGTGTTTCTTGTTCTTTTAAAACACTGTTTGGATCTTCATGGCTTAATGAACCCATAAATAAAAGAAAGGCACAAATGAAATCTCAAGTAACCAAGGATTTCAGTTGAAAAAACCATCTTTTATTTTAAGGTCAGCTCACATCAACATAAAGGTAACTCACCTGTAAATGGCTGAACCAAATAAAGATTAATTTTCCACTCTTAGTGCGCTGGCAGAGTTGTTGTTTTCACAGCGGGAAATGTCTTGGAAATATTAAACATCAAACAATTTCAGTCAATAAATTCACCTTCTTGAAGAAGATCTCTTTGCTATTGAAAACAAAATATAACAAATACATTTGTTTAAATTGACAGTTTTATTATCTTATTTTGTCATTTATGTTATTCATGACAGACGATTTGTGAATTGCTAACATAATTAGAAATTGCCGCCTTATTCCTCTGCCGCTTGTTGTTTGCGACTTGCATTCAGACGCCGGGTCACGAAATATTCAATGAACGCTGGAAGTGTTATAACAATAACACTGATCTATTCACAAGTACGGTCTTACTTTAAAGGATTTGAAAAAAAAAGGGAAAACTCTCTTTTAAGTCCAAACCTTTTGTTAACAAATTCAGAGCCCTGAAGCAATATAACAATTTGCATTCTCAAGAGTTGAATCGATTTGCAAATGAAAAAAAACAGTTGTAGACATTCTCAGGATATATTGTTATGAAATCTAATCGATTAGTGTAAAAACAAAGAGATTTAACAGATGATATTAATGTGTTTTCGAGTCATAATCCGAGATTTTATTTCCAAAATACTCCCACTAAAATTATTTTAAGTTAAATTTGAATATTCACAATATTTTTACCTTCTTTAAAAAGAAAAATTGTAGATGGCTAAGTTGAGAAAAGTAATAACTTTAGGTCCACAATTAATAATCTTTTGCCATAACTCAGCACATGTAAAACTGCACTTGATATCAACACTTCAGGTTATTGAACTCTTCGCTCAAACATTAAATGAATTTTTTTCCATGTTTATATAGCTTCACCTAAACACGGTGGGTGTCGTGAGAATTCAAGAAATTTTGCATACACCCACCACCACCACCCCCACACCCCGTGTTTAAATATAAAATGCGTGTCATAGGTAATTATTAACACAGTGAGCGGGACGTCACAACCGTGTTTACATACTCTCGTCTCAACACACCTGTCAACCAATGCGAGCTTGCTTACTATCTGAAATATTTCATGCTAATTTGTATAATGTAAAAAATTGTAATATGTACAGATTTTCACCTACATGGTATGCGAAGACTTCCTGGTCACTGAGGATACTATCTGAGTCTGACGACCCGCAAAATGTTTTGTTTAATAATGTGTTCCTGCAGATTCCGAATAATTTCGGGATATCTCGAGTTTCGAAAATCTTCCTTTGAATGTATCTGAATTCCAAAATTCTCGTAATTTTTTAGCGTGCGATGGATTAAAAAAGAATTTTTAAAAAAATGGGTTATAAGTTGGCATGACAACGGTAAGAAACCGTCCTGAAGGCATGAGGATAATTTTTCGGTTTCTATTTAAACTTATTAATGACCATTTTAAGAGCGAAGCTCACTATTCTTCGTTTTTCGAGACTATAGAAACAAATTCTACTTGTCACGGGGATCTTTTCTATGATTCTTCTTGTTTCTTAGATTCTTTCTTCACCAAAGTGTTGTGGTATATGGCACACTACTAAGCTATTGTTTATCCTTTGATATTCTTGACCTCCTACGGGCGGCGGACCTTTAAACTTTGAAGTCAAAAGCCAAATGCTTTTAAGCTGGGTTGGATCGAGTATTTCTTCTCGCATTGGGCACTAATTGTTGTGTACGACAATACCTCTAGCCTTATTCTGTAATTGTTTTCGTGGAACCATGGCACAGGATTTAACATATTCACGGCACTGAAAAAAAATAGGCAACGCGACATACAAATTGACATACAAAGTGTCATACGTTTAGACCGGATGTTAGATGGCAAGAGAGAACAACCGATGTGTTGTCAGCTTCCTTCCTCTCCGACAACAATTTGCACTTTTTCTAAAACTTTTCAAATTTTGCATCAAACATCCTTGGATTGGATAAGGCGCGTATTAAACGGAGCAAAATGAATTTACTTTGAGTTTGTTGTTGTCTTACCTCGGTAAACAACTACTGCACTTATCCAGAGAGGAAAAATGTATTACACTCATGATCTTTGATGGCAAACATATTATGGTAACAGGTTTTGACGTTTCCTTTACCATATTCTGCATTTTAATTTTTTTCTCACATGTTTTGAGCTCACCTGCAAACACATTATCAGTTTTATAACAAAACAAATTCATCATTTGTATCAACCGTCATTAGTGATTTTGCGTTCAGTTTGTTATTCATCCAACTCTTTCATAATACTAATATCAATTTGATTCCATAGATTGAACTTTAAAATTTTCCATCTGTTTTTTACACTCGATAACATGTAGCAAGACAAAAAAAAAATTCAGTTATGGAATACATTAGCTTACATTTTGTTTGCCACTTTTCGTAAATCATTAAACGTGTTTTCAGCATTTATCAGGCAACAAAGTGCGCTTTTTACAAATATCTTCCAGTTGTGACGAGAGATTTCTAGTTTCTCTTTTATTTATTCAGAAGACGATTTTCAGTTTCGAGAAACAGCTCAGTTTAAACTGAATGTCACTGACATTCGTTCAAATTTTGGAAATCTTCTTCGTTTCTGAGTAAACCATTTAACAACGGAAATTCTCACCAAGAAAAAAAAGAGAGAAACATGCAGTAATATATAGGTTTTTTTACTTACGTTTCACATAATTCCCACCGTTCTTCTCGACCTGGCTAACACCAGATTATAAGTCGTTTGGCCCTGGTGTCAGTAGGATGTAATGATATTTTGGAGAAGTATCTCGCGTGAGTTCCCTTGAGGAGATTTTAAGATTTATAGCTAATTTATGTGTCGCTGTGCCTGTGTTTGCGATCGACAAAACATGCAGTTTCGTGCCAGCTGCCTCCTGATTAGCCTTGATTCCTGACTGAGAGTAAGTCAGGAATACATGGAGAAATTAAAATGTTTTGAGCTTAATTACCAACGCAAAAAGGTTTTTTGTGGAAGTATCGTTTTGCATAACAAAACAGTAACATCGAGGAAGCTCACACCTCCTGCTAGCAAACAACTTTTATTATAAAAAATATTAGAACAGGCTTACCTAAATTGTAGCTATCTTATTTGTTCAGCTATAACAACAAAAGCAATGAATTTAGGCCGGAATGTTCTTAGTCAAATGGTTTTTACAGTATGGGGATTTTAACTAGTTTTTAACAGACCACTTCAAGAAGAATATCAAATAAAGTTTGCTCGCGCTCGATCGTGTTTCGCAGAGGGTTTGCCATAAATGTCATTGATTTTCATGTTGTTTTTTTGTTTACATTCTATTCTAAAAATATCCCATCGAGCACTGAACAGTATCTTCCAAAAATTGTCAAGGAAAACAGTGTAAAGCTAGCTCAACTTTATCATGCACATTTATTTGGTTTGTCAGTTGTGTCTCCGACTGCTGAATAAACCTGGCTATTCTTACGAAAGTCTTAGACCGTAATGTGGACTCGACTTTCTGAAAAATTTATAAATGATTTCCTACTTTTCCAATAAGTTTTTTTCTTGAACCTCTCTGAAGGTCACTCAATTTAGCCCAAGTCACGGAACAGGTAAACTCGCGAAAGATATTTCTTGTTTAATCTTCATGAAGTGTTTTTAATATCTACAAGAGGAATACATAAATCAATCGTTGGTTACTGCTGCGATTCTTTTAGGCAATCAAAACTGAAGAACCGATATCTTCGTAATCTTTCGTGCCGAAAAGATCTTCGTGACGTAATCGGAACGTTCCACGGTATATCGTGCGACTTAATCTCAGTGACGTCGTGAATTCTTATCACTCACTCTGAAACTTACAATGCATGTTATTCTGTTGTTCCGTCGTTCTACGTGCGGCTTCCTTCGACATTCTGACAGGAACGATAAAATACTGAGGCCGTTACAGCTGTCCATGACGTCTTTGGCATTTCATTAATCTTTAAACCAATCTAACTTGACTAACTGAAGAGCTTGCTAAATTTCTACTTCCTATCATAATTTCAGGAGTTTTCCTGAAGAGGACTTTCCTGCTTCTTTGTGCAAGAATCTGAGAGGAGTGGAAAGCAAATAGGAGGGGAGGGAGGGGAGCAGTGGGTACTGATCCCGTTTTGCGCACAAATATTGAAAATAAATCACTCGTCACGTTTACCCTTACGCTGGGGTATTTCACGGGTCACGAATTTAAAAGGGAAGACTTTAGATCTTAATTTACTCTGCCTTTCTGTAAAATTCACGCGTCACGTGTTAATTTTGAGCTTTAATCATGCGTCACCTATAAACTTTTGCCGGCCTAGGAAAAGCCAAGCTTTGATTTCTGACTAAGTAAGTTTTAACTCTCCATAACGGATGAAAAACTGGAAACTTTTAATATTTCCTTTCTTCACTGGCTTTCCACAGTAGTTTGATTTCAGCTCCCTTCATTCCATTGTAACTGATTTATTTGCTGAACCTTTCATGTACCAATTGCCAGTCATCGTCCCACCTTAATTGTAATCACCAACGTTTGCTCATTTTCCTTCTGATTGATAAAAATGATCACACAAACGTCGCTATCCTGAAAACGAGCCCATTTTTCGAGATCCATCTCCAAGTGCTCAAAAACATGGTATTTGACATGGACTCGGATCAGGTTGAAGATAGTGCCAAATATGCTAACGCAAGGAGCCCATCACTTATGCTTAAAAAAGAAGAAAATCTTGACGTGCGGAATATCATGTTCAATTTTTTGCAAAATCGTTCGGCCGTTAAGAAACAAAAAGATCGAAGGGATATTGGGGAATAATTTTCATCACCTGCTCGCCACACTGAAATTGCACGAAGATTCTGTGGGTTATAACTGCGTCAAACACGGCTGTGTGCTAAAAAAATGATCATTATATTTCTTAAATATAATTGCTCGAGTAATTACAGTGATGCGCGCGCTCTGATTGGTCGAGGATTACTATAATCACCTCGCGCAATGTGACTATAGCAGGAGAGCTAAATTCCAAAAATGGCTGCCTCGCGTTTTAACAGTGCTATCGAAGTGATGAACGCAATAAAGAAAATTCAATTCTGAAGAGCACAAAAGATGCTATTACCTTTTGAGTAACCTTTCAAAAGAAAGATTTGAAGATTTTGTCGATTAAATGATATAAACCTATCAAATTCTGGTGGAACCAATTGAAACCGAATGGTTTTTAATATCAAAACGAATTCTTACGACAGAATTCGAAAGTATCTAAGCAATTTTACTGAAAAAGTTATTAGCCTTTGGCGAATAATTTTTTAAATATTATCATTAATTTAAAAATTTCAGTGTAATAAATCCACCAAACCATTTGATTCGAGAAAAAATGGCAGCAAATATATTAAAAAAAGGCAACATCACCTATTCCTTGCGCCCAGTTGTGCACGGTGCGCAATAGCACTGCAGAGAAAAAAACTTCTTGCTGTACGCAGTTGCACGCCGTTGAACTGCAAGACACGACCCGTTTCAAACCCCTCTTCTTTTTCCCCTCCAGGCGCCCGGTTACTAACTGAATGCCTACAACACGTTAATAAATGAAAATTGACAAGACTGTGCTGCACAAAAGTCTTTAATCTGTTCGATGATCTCCGACAATCATGTTTTTCTATAGCTGATCGTCTTCCACAGCTTAAGTCTTCAGACAGCTCTCAGTTCTTGAAAAAGCTTAAAAAAATTTAATACTTCTTTTTCTTTCTCCAGATTTGCTCGAACCACTTCTCAACTTCCCGCTTAGTCTCTTCAGTTTCAACATACTCCAAGGGTTCTTTCGTGTACGGCAGTGGCTTCATTTTCTCATTCACCGTGCTCATAGAGGGAGGGTAGTCCCTTAGGTACCACAGGGCATCCTCCCCTCTTGTCTCATGCTTAAGGACCTCGATGCTTTGAA